AGGGGAATCCTGAACCCCAGTTTCAAAACGACTCTGCAACCCGCACCTGGGTGTGGTAACTGTCCCAGGGAGCAGCACAGAGCCCACTTGCAGCAAGAGAGGAGTTTGCTCTGCAGCCTTAGCTGAGTGCCAGCTGGCTTTTGGATCATGCAGTAGAGCCTCGTGCACAGGGGTCCAGGTTCAGTTCCGCCCGTCTGCGTTCCATCAGCAGATCCCATTGCTCTCCGCCGGGAGGACAGGGGGTTCTCGACTGTCCTCAGCAGGAGCTGCTGGCTCCTGAGTCCTCTTGAAAATCTGGCCAATTCTGTTAGGTGCCTCGAGGCGTTGGGGGGGGGGGGGGCGCACCTATAAATGCAGAGAGCCCAATTCCCTGCTGCTTAATTTCACTGACAACTGAATATACAAACTTGAGAAAGATAAAACGACATGGTCCCTAACTGAGTTGGGGATAAAAGGGCCCATGGACAATTGCTTCAATAGTTTAGATGAAGGGTTCTCTGAGCAATTCAGAGACTCCACGCAGCAGCTGGCAGACCAGTGCTCAGATCCTAGCCTCATAGAATACTAGAACCGGAAGGGACCTTGAGAGCATCATGTCCAGTGCTCAGAGAGATGAGTTTGCCAGGAAGTCTGGGGGTTTTAGGAGCATGAATCCTTGACTTTGGATGGAACTTATGCTCCTAAATCTGAAGAACTTTAGAAAAATTCTCCATGCCGACACGTTTGGAGACTGGACAATCTGAGCTTGCCATTTTGGTCCACCCATTAGAAGCTGCGATGGGACATGTACTATTGCCTGGTAGGTGCGGAGAGCCTCAGAAAGCACCATCACTGCAGGATTGTTTGGGTGAGTGTTGCAGCAACCTGTGAAAAAAATCTGTGTATTGGAACAAGGGCCTTTGGCAGGATTAGGTGTGTTGGAGGGACAAGTAGATAACAAGCAACCAGACCACTCCCCTTTGGCACTCAACCCTGTTTATTTCAGTGCGACCCTGGCCTCAGCTGTTGTGGTAGGAGCTTTGTCTATTTATACAGAGGCCAGCAGACTGAGTTCATTGATTATATTTTGATGGCGATGCAGACAGGAGTCACAGCAGATTGAGGGAAGGGCTTAGGGATACATGGGAGCAGAGGGCTTTGGATACACAGGGTGAGGTTTTCATAATCCATAATCGAGGCTCAAGCTTCAAAAGGACGTGCCCCCCCCCCCTTTACATACCTGCATGGAGGGATTTTTAAAAGGGCACGCAGAGCGCTGAGCTGTTCGGAAAGTGTGGGCCCACTTGCATGTGCTGAGTCCATCTGGGAATCCTGGGAATGGCCAGGAACAAAGAGGTGACGTGTCTCAACAATCTAGTCTGAGTTTATATAGAGTGTTGTGGTGACCCATGGGCTTCAGCAGAGCTATGGCTAATGGGCACCAGCCAATAGTCTGGCCCAGGATTCTTCACCGGGTTTAGAAATGAACAATCCTCAAATCCCATTAGTATCTGGAATTAGCTTAGAAAACCTGACCCAAACCAGGTGTGACTTGTGAGCCTTTTCGTACCAACCAGCAGGGGGCACAGCGGGAGTGTCTAGGGGTTACAGGAATGGGCTGCTGTTCACAGTCTCGCTCAGTGGCTCTCTAGTAGGGGTACACAGCGATCTTCCGGGGGTACAACAGTTCATCTAGAGATTTGCCTAGTTTTACAACAGGCGATGTAAAAAGCACTAGCAAAGTCAGTACCAGCTACAATTTCATACAGTAGCTTGTTGCTACTGCTCTATACACTGAAATGTAAACATATTTACATTCCAATTGATTTATTTGATAATTGTATGGTAAAAGAGAAAGGAAGCAATTTTCCAGTAATTGTGCACTGAGACTCACTTGTGTTTGTATGCCTGATTCTGTACGCAAGTAGTTTTCAAACGAGGGGAAACTGGGAGGGATGCAAGTCGAATCAGACTCCCAAAAGAGGTGCAGTGGTCTGGAAAGGGTGAGAAGCCCCGTGTCACTCTGGTAATCAATCTCAGCGTGAACTACACGTACAGAGCACTGTGTCTGTTCTGAAAGTCGGAGTCTAGGAACTGGCCACTAGCAAAGATGACGGCCCATCTCTGTGCCCTGTGGCTGGCTCATGCAGGCAGAGGGTGCTCTGTGTGACTCAAGAATGCCTTCAAGGAAGGTCAGGTCTTTCTTACTGCCAATGTCCTCTCCTGTACCCTGGCTGTCTGGCCCCTGGGGACTCATCTTCCAGCTTGCCCCGAGGTTGTTCCCTGGTGTCTTTGCTGTCTCTATCTACCCCCCGCCCCCCCAGGGCCCAGGCTGCCCCTTTCTGAAATGGTGCTGCTTGGACACTCCTCCAGGTCTATCAGTATAAAGCCTGCTATGGCAGTATATACAGAATCCCAGCCACCCCCTGGCAGCTCCCTCCCCCCCACAAAGTATTCTCGCCGCCCCTTCAGCTCTAGGCTGCTGGACCGGTGTTTGTTTAAATAAGTCATAAAACATGGAGGATTCTTTCGGCAGCCTTCCTAAGTCTTCTCTTGAGCATGGAACTATTAGATGGTTTCGTCACTGTTACCCACCGTCATTCCCATCTCTCGAGACCAAAACTCTACCGTTTCCATATACATTCAGAGTGTTTGACCACTGAAAGCCGCGCTTCCATCGGTGACAAACTCTCCTGGACAAACCGGTGGAGTTAACGTAAAGCTTCCTGACTGAGGTTTAATCCCTTGGGGGTCCCTTGTACTAAACATGCCATTGTGCATGTGTTATTGTACGTAGCTCCTCTAGGAGAAGGCTAATGCCATTCCTCCAGTGATCAGCCCTTTGAAGCCGCCACGGGAGAGGTGGGCATGGATTCATTCACCCTGGATTCTCCAGGGGCCACCAGACAAAAAGTTTGGGATAAATAGTTCAAGGCCTTCTTCCTGATCCAGCAAACAGACAGGACACCTGGTCATGGAGAAGCCCAATCCTTATGGTGGGGCTGGAAGTACTGAGGCCCAATAAAGACCCTGCTAGTTCTGAGCTGAAGCGGTGGTGAACTTGAAACCACAAGGAAACCCCTTGGATGGGGGTTTTAAGGCCCATTCCTGCCTGTTAGAGCTGCGAGCTCTGGCAAGCTGATTAGCACACGCGTAGGGTTCCTTTTAGAGTTACTGTTTCCTCTGTAGTGCTTTTACCTTATCAATAAGAGTGGCTTCCCTAGGACATGCTGTGTGGTACCGTCTGATGGTGGGCAGTCGCACTTTTGGTCTCTGCTTGGGCACAGTGCCTTGCTTGGGACATCAGAGTGTAGGCTGGGGACTGATAGCCTGGAAGGACCCAGGGGAGAAGGGAGTGAGATGTGAGTCTCTGCTCGAGACAGAAGGACAAGTGTGGGTGTCCTTGCTGGACCACGGAGGGGGAATACAGGGGCAGCTCCCTTGAAGTGTGACACCACCAAGCTGGAAATGTTTGTAGCTTCCCTAGGGCACCCTGTCTGAACCCGAGTTGCTGAATGCATGGCCGTATCGAGGGGACACTTTAACGTGCATGAGCCCTGGCACTTGCGACAGGAACCATCACCAGACCAGGCTGAGAGGTGGATGGGTCTTGGGATTGCCAGACCAACAGAAATCACGGAAGGGGCCGTTTGCTCAACACAGAGCTCTGTTTATCTGAGCTGCTGCTATTCAAGTTGCAAAAATCTAGCCAAGGACTCAAGCGGACAAAGGGGAACCAGGATCTGAACAAAAGCAAAGGGTGTGTTCTAGCAGCCCACGGTAAGAAACCCTTAGCACTTGTGCCCTTCCCACTCATGGCTGGCGCAGATGAGTAATGTTCAAAAAATTCACCAGGCAAACAAGCAACGACAGGGGCTATTTATCTTTTTATTATAAATTTAGTATGAATGACCAATGGAAAAGTCACAACAGAGTACCAAGAATGTTTGTCAAAGTTTTAGCAGCATTTAAACAGTACTAAGTTCCCATCTCCATCAGCCCACATCTTCCACCCCCAGCGCAGGAAGCTCAGCTGAATGGCAGCAAGACTTCTAGGCTGAGATTTAGCCCATGCTTGTTTCATGTAATCCCCTGCACTGCAGTGACCATCTCAACTCAACCACGTGTCCCCACAGACTCTCTGCTCCTCTCCTCCCCTCGCCACCCAGGTCATGTCTACACCACAAGTGGCAGGATGGTTCCAGCATGGCTAAGCCAGCAGAGTGAGCTCAGGATGCAAGTCTGTACCCAACTTGCACTGAGGCCTTGGCCACCACAGCTGCACTTCTGGTTTTAGCCAGGCTCATGCAGGTCTGTCTGCCTGTACTTCAATCACAGCTCAGATCGCAGTGTAGACACAGCTTCTGTCGCAATAAGCAAGTACCTTGTGCCACTGACAAACCGGGGCCTGCCTGTGGAGGAGGGTACTTAGCAACATGCAAACCTGGCTCTAGAGTGTGTGTTGGAATCCATGACACAGGCTGATACAACAACTTCAACTACACAACTGTACTCCTGAAAGCAGTTCACTCATGGGGTAGGGCCCATTACTTTCCAACCCCCACGGGTCAGGCACACGTATTACCTCCCTTCCTCAAGTTCTGTGCATGATTACATGAGTACTGTCCATGGAATCACCAACCCACAGAGTCCCACCCATTGCTCTCAGATTCTGTGTCAGAGAATTAATGGGGAAGGAGAAGATACTTAAGGCTTAATCTTGCTCCTGTTCAGGCTGATGACAGCACTGAGCTTAGATTTGATAGGGGTGGGGGAAGATGGAAAATGAATATTTAGTGTATGTCAGATTCAAAACATACTGAAGTTAGTTGACTAACCACATGGACAGTAGTGTTAAGCATACAGAATAACAAGTACAGGCATAACTGTAAAATATTTTTCCTAGTTACAGTCAAATAAACAGAACTATCCCAGTTCTGCTGGTGGTAGTTTAGTGAAAACAACCTTTCATTAGCAGTGGGAACATAAACGTACACATATGGGTAGACAACAACATAACTCTGGCAAGCTATTTCCCTGCTTCTTTGGTACTTTCTAAACTTTCTTATCCAAAATATATAAGGGAAATGCACCATTAAAAAGTTACTGTTTGTAAGTATGTACAAAAGCAGTCGCCATACAGTATTGTACACAAAGATCAATCTGATATGAACAAAGTTATCTTACGAAAAGCACTTAATGCACATTTTGTTTTGTTCCAGTATCTCTTAACCTTAAAAAAATTCATATTATGCAATCCTGTACCTCGCTTTATCATGTATCAAATAGACAAGAAACATTTCCAATCCATACTCTTCTTCAAAAGATTAAAAAATCGCCACTGAAATGTTACATTATGTACAAACTTTACTAAATATTAAATCCTAGGCAATTATTTTCACCCCACTTATATTATAACTTAGGTACTATTTCCTACTATATGCATATATTTCTTTAATATATAAGAACGGCACCACATTATACCACCATGTCACCAATATGACACATTGTTATATACAGTAGATAAGAAGTTGGATATGGAAGATGAATCCTTGCCGACTAGCACTTCCATGGACAGGTTAGCGGGGTGCTCTTCCCTTTCCCCCCTCCCTCCCCCCGCCCCACATGGGAGAATAGTTCTGGCTATTCTTCCTGTTATGTGGGGAAGTGGCATTCAGACATAGGGCAGAATCCCATACATAAAGATCGCCATGACTCCAGCACTGAACAAGCCAGCAACGGGAACTGTCACAAACCAGGCCAGAAAGATGTTGCGGAACAGACGCCAGTCAACAGCCTTCTTTGAACGTATCCAGCCGACTGCCACCACTGAACCAACCTTAGGAGTGTGAGAAGAGGATTAGGAGAGACACGGTTCATGCGGAAAAGTCTCCAAGAGACTTCTATGACCAACCCAATGCCAATCAGCTGATACCCAGCAATATAAGTAGCCAAGATCTTAAAATACTGCGGACTTCAGTGAAGACCAAAGCTTTGTTAAAGGGCGACTGGAATTTAGTACTTGCATGTTGCTGGGGTAAAAAATAAAATAAAATGAAGGGGGGAAAAACAGCAGCTGACTCAAATGCCTTTCATAGTATATGTATCAACTTTAAGCCAGGTTAATTAGATTCAGGCATCTCTTTCAAATGGCAATTAACTCTGCTAGTGGTAGGTGCCTCTGCCATTTTGGGCCCCAATCCTGCAATGAGCTCCAGCTAGTCAGAGCAAGCACATTGACTTTAATGGGTCCTGCATGGGCTCAGGAGTCTTAGGCTAGGTCTGCTCTACCAGGTTGTTTCAAAATCAGTTATTTCGAAATAAGCTTATGGCTCTTCACAAGCAGGAGTTCTTCTTTCAAAATAACAGAGTTGATCATGTGGACACTCGCCTTGTTGTTTCAAAATAAGGGGAGTGATTTTGAAAAAACTCCCCCGTGTAGACATGCCCTTCCTGTGCACGGCTCATTGCAGGACCGAGGCCTTTGAGCATTTTGGTGGAAGGACTCAGTTGTCCTTGGTGTTTGGCTAAACACCTTGCACATTTTGGGTGCTAGTGAAATCTAAAGAATAAGAAGCTATACAATCTGCCAAGTGTGTTTTCCATCTAGTATAAAACCTGTGCTTCTGTGCTACCCACTCACCAAAGCAACTCTCCTTGAATCCCATGCGCACAGCCCTTCCTAGAAAGACCTAGACCAGCCCGAGGATGTAAGGTATTCAATCAGAGTGGACATTGTGGTGAGAAAGTGTTAACAGAAAAATACTCTGAGGAATAGTTAGCAGAAAGGTCTGGCAGATCAACTCCTGGGTAGATACTATTGTTTGGGTGATAGTGTTAAAACTACTGGAGCAATGGAGACTTATTCCAGCAAGTACAATATTGCACATGGGCACTGATGAATTAGAGGAAGATTTTGTTCATATCAGGAAATATTGCCCCGATGGTGACGGCAGGATTCCAGATCAATAACTGGGTTGTAAGGTTTCTCAGGCCAAAGTAGTAACACAATTAATGATGTGGCCACTTGAGAACATAACACATTATTAATAGTAGCACAGCATTTATTAGCTGGGAACAGGAAACTCTTCTCTTCTAGACTTTCTGGGATCTAGCAGTCACGGATATATTCCAGCATCAGATTAAGACTCCGCAGGGGAAACAGTTAACATCTCGCCCTCTGCCTTCCTTCACTGAATTTTCAGTTAAGGGGGGGGGACTCACCAGCTACAAGTCCACTTCATGGAGTATTAAATAAATTGACAGAGATTAAAGTTTCTTGGGGGAGGGGAGGGAGAGACTATTTAGAAACAGTTTGTGAAAACATGTATTTCTGGGAAATTTTTCTAAATTATATTTTCTTTCTACTCCTGGTGCAGCAGCCTGGACCTCCCCAGCTGGTATAAAATCATGGAAGCCAATGCTTAAAATAGCAAGAAATCCTCCCAAGGGGGAAGGAAGAGAAATCCCACAGACTTAACAGTGTTCTTCAACAATTAAAGGGAAAATGAGGCCGGGGGGAAGAACTGCAGACAAATGAGGGAATAATTCCCTGAGGGAAGCTATGAAAGGCCGTTTGATAGGGCATTTAAAACTCAACACTGCAATATGGAAAAATAAGCAGGGTCAGAGAGTAGAGCTAACAGTTCCTCCTTCTCTAAAGCTTGGATGCTGGGACCAGCAACTTGGTATATGGTTGAGTGTCTTGCCATGTGGGCGAAAGCCTAAAGAATGGATATGATCTAGGCCGAGGGGAGACCTTCCGAGAATGGCACCCTGTTGTGGCTGAGAATCCTTCCTAAAAGAAGGTACCAATCCAAGTCCCACTGTAGTCAGTAGGAATCTTTCCATTGATTGCAAAATGCAGCTGAATTTGTCTCTGCATGGTATCTTTGCCTGAACTAAAGAAAACAGACTGGACCAAAAAATCTCCCTGATTGAAGAAAAATTGAACTCCTTGGCCTCTGATGATAGGACAAGAAGCAGTGGGCTTACATTGCAGCAAGGGAGGTTTAGGATGGACATTAGGAAAAACTTCCTACCTATGGTTGCCAGATGGTTTCAACAAAAATACCAGACACAACTGACATTACATCACTATCTACATTACATTGTATGTAGAAAATACCGGACATGTATATTTTCTCATTTATATTTTCTCAATTTGTTTCCCGAACAGAAAGCTCACAACAACTGGACTATCCAGTTCAAAACCGGACACCTGGCAACCCTATTCCTACCTGTCAGGGTAGTTAAACACTAGAATAAATTGCCTAGGGAGACTGTGGACTCTCCATCACAGGAGCTATTTAAGAGCAGGTTAGACAGACACCTGTCGGAGATTATCTAGATGGTGCTTGGTCCTGTCATGAGGGCAGAGGACTGGACTTGATGCCCTCTCAAGGTCCCTTCCAGTTCTAGGATTCGATGATTTTTTTTTTAATAAAAATTTCCCTGTGATTGAAGACTTTAGTGCCATCGGGTGTATTAAGGAGTTTTAGGAGAGAATGAAGACAGGCATTCTCTCTGTGGGAGTAAGTTAAAAGAAGATTTCATTTTATAAGGTATAAAAATCTGTTTGAAGAGAAACTCATTAGCTATGTAATATTTAGTCTGAATAAACCCATCAATCATTGATATGCTAGTCTGGGGCTAGCAAGTACTGTGGCAACCCCTAACCCAGATAGTTTGCAATTGTCTAGAGGAAGAGCAACAACCAGCCTAAATAAAGAGAAACACAAGCAGCAGCAGATTCCTGAATAGCTCCTTTGTCCAAGAAAGGATTTGACTTGCATCTGACAAAGTGGGTCTTTGCCCACGAAAGCTTATGCTCCAACACTTCAGTTAGTCTATAAGGTGCCACAGGACTCCTCGCCGCTTTTGCAGATTCAGACTAACATGGCTACCCCTCTGATTCTAGAAAGGATTTTGATGCTTAGCTCCTTAATGATACATTTAAGGCTTCTGTTTTGGGGGCTTCTTTTTAGCAATTGAAACTCAAAAAAGAGCCTGACAAAAATGTCAGAAAATGATATTAAACTAGCTAGAGATATAAAGGGTAACAAGAAAACATTCTACAAATATATTAGAAGCAAGTGGGAGATCAACAACAGGTTAGGCCTGTTACTTAATGTAGGTGGTGGGACAAAAATGGAAAAGACAAGAAATGCTAAATGACTTTTTGGTTTCAGTTTTCACCGTAAAGGTTAGGGGGATTGGACATCTAACACTGCGAACACCAATGATAAGTTAGGGTCTGAGGCTAAAATAAAGAATCAATTGAAAATTCCTTAGACAAGTTAGATGCCTTCAAGTCAGCAGGCCAGATGAAATATATCCTGCAATACTCAAGGAGCGACTGAGGCAATATCTCAGCCATTATCTTTGAAAACTCACTGAAAAGGGCAGATATAATATTCATCTATAAAAAGGGGCATAAGAATAACCGGGGGAATTATAAACCAGTATCTGGAAAGCTAATGGAGCAAATAACGAAGCAATTTGCAAACGACTGGAAAAACTGGGTTTGTTTGATCTGGAGAAGAGAAGACAGAGAGAGGACATGATAATTTAAGCACATAAAAGGGTATTACAAGAAGGAGAGAGAAAAATTATTCTCCTTAACTTCTGATGATAGGACAAGAAGCAACGGACTTAAATTGCATCATGGGAGGTTTAGATAGGAAGTTTTTCCTAATCTCCAGTCAGGGTGGTTAAGCACTGGAATGAATTGCCTAGGGAGGTTGTAAATCTCTGTCATTGAAGGCTTTTAAGTACAGGTTAGACAAACATCACCTGGAATGGTTTAGTAATTACTTAATCCTGCTTTTGAGTGCACAGGACTGGCCTAGGTGATCTAATGAAGTCCCTCCCAGCCCTACATTTCTGTGTCCAAAAATGAGGCTCTTTGAAGGCTCTCTTTGTAAATATTGTAATGAGTAATTTGTAATGTTCCCTAGCACATTTAATGTAGTGCGCTCTCAAACAGCTCTATGTTGAAGCACTCTAGTGAATCATCATATGCATCAGGAGGTCCTACCTGAATCAATTAACGTGCATCATATTAGTGCACTTCAGAAATCACACTACATGTTACTTAGTCTTTGTAGACAATACCTTAGATACAAGTATATTTGGTGTTTACTGAATTAAAAAAAACAGTTTCTTTTGTCCATCTGGTTTTGATATTGGGGTGTTTTATCAGTTACAACTTTCAGAAGCCCTACATATATTATACACTTCACACAATGTTTTTTGTCAGTTTGCATTTCCAATTATATAAGACTGAAATTTGATACAGTAACCTGGTTTAGTATGCAAGCAAGATGTAACTTGTAATCGTTTTTTCTTGGAATTTAAAAAGATATCAGCAAAGATGGCATTGGTCAATCCAGCTCTAAATACTATGAAAGTTTAGTTTATTAATAATAATTTTGATGAATTAAAGATTAGGAAAGCAGTTAAAACTTCAAAGGAAAAAAACTAAAATGATTTGTGGATATTTGATGACAGCTACCTTCAGACTGGTTTCAAACCAGTACAGTTTGCCTTCATATGCTCTGCTTAACCACAAATGTGTAGCGCAAGTAGTTCTGCCTGAAACAGCGATGCTTTCTAAAAGACACAATTCTGTACAGAGGATGTTTATAACACCCCTTTTTCATTGTTATTTTGGTGCATTCACAAGCTAATCACATCTGCTTGTCTCGTGAAATACAAGCTGTTCAGAAACCCCTGTATGTTAAATTGTAGGCTTCATGGATTGGAATAAATACAAGGTAACTCTATTCAAAGCCTAGTTCCAGAGTAACTTTCTGACACCCACATGAACCCCAATGGCTCTGCTGCTAGAACAGGCTCCTTGCACATGGAACCTGCGTGGCTCACAAATATTGTACCTTGACAATCAAAAGATTCCAAACACTTTGGGGTTAGTGCCTAGAATCACAGGGGCTCTTGTGCCCTCCTGGATCTCTCCACGGGGACACAGGTCTGGCTGTTGCAAAACTATCTTCCTCTTAAATTTCAGAGCTTCTCACAGAATAGGAATTGTGCATTCTTACTAGCCATGGTTAGCGATTTAAGCTAATTGTCTGGACATTACATGTTGCACGTGCACAGTACGCGATTTCCCTCGCGCCACATATGACTTCTGCACAACCCACTGGTGAAACTCTGTAAAAAATTTTTTAAACAAACCGCCAAATGCGAAAAGTTAATTTAGTGCAAGGCTCAGGTGAAGAAATTAAAGTGCAGAAATGGGGCTGCTCAACATGAGATGCTAAACATAGTTAACAACCTACTACATTGTTCAGATTTCTAACAGCCAAATTAACATTAGGGTAAGAACCTTAAACTTTTCATCCTTTTGTGCAATTGCTCAGTCCTAACTTTGCCTTTGTGCAGTTCTTTTGAATGTAATCTTTTGTTTGAGTCATCAAAATCTATTTGGTGCAAAACATAATGAAGGCAAAATGCAACAATTAGCATTTCTTAGAATTTGACGGTTATAGATTGATATCACTGCAAACTCCAATACCTTGCAATGAGTGGAGCTTATTGGAATACCCACATTTGAGGCTACAAGTACCGTTAGCGCACACATTACTTCAATGCAAAATCCACTGTGAAGAAATAAAAAAAGATAGTGGAAACGTTGTAGTACAAGAATTATAGGAAGGAAATCCCATGCCATGCACTCATCCAGACAGTGAAGTATGAACAACGGAAGGTGTCATAGCCTCTGAACACTGAGGAATGCTACAGATCTAGGCTTAAATGGCATGATCAAAGGAAAGCAGACCAGCTGCTTCTACTCTCTGCATATTATGGAACGGTTTAATTTTTCTTGTGATCTTGAGACCTGTGGATGACACATCTATGAAGGGTTTCTTGGGGCAGAGCCTTTTGAGTTCACACTTTATAAGCTCGTATGTCCCAGTTGCTATAAGCTTGTAAACCCCAGTTGCAATGGATTCTTAATCTGAAAATCAAAAATGTATTTTTTTTTTTTACCGTGAACATTTCCAGTTCTATGGCATTTTTGTAAAACATTTTTTGAAAGAACAGAACTTGGCCAGGCCTCGGCCTAAGTTTGATTTTTTTGCCTTACAGAGAACAGTTTCAGTTTTTCCTGCATTGAATCATGCCATTATACAGCGACCTGAGCAGCAAACGTAAAGATGTACAGTCCAGACTGCCATGAGTGCAGTCACATGGCAAAAGCATACCTTGCAGTGTGTAGTACTGACAGGAAGTCCAACATTGGAAGCTATCACAACTGTGAACGCCGAAGCCAACTCAATAGTGAATCCACTGCAGGAAGCATAAGAAAACACTTCACAGTCACTCTTTGTATCAGTTTGGACTGACACCATGCAGTGTGCTAAAGTCTTACCAGTATCTTCTTCAATTGTTTATCTCTGAATGATTTGGTCATAGAATCACATTAGGAGAACAATGGACTACTGAATAATGGAAACAATACACACTCGTTATCTGCATTAAACTGGTTGCACAGCTCACTGCTTCAGGCCGTTTTACTACTCTACAGCCAAGCAAATCAGGCTTAATTAGTCATTAGCTTAGCAGCAGCAGAGGTCTAGTATGCATTAGAGCAGAAATAAGAGTCAAATTAATATTTTTTAGTGTTCTGAAGCACATGGGGAAAGCTGATTTTGTTATGTCCAAATTTCAAATAGTTTCCTATGCTAATGAGGACAGCAGCAGAGTACTTTTGTTAACTAGACCTCTACAATTTAAACTCGTACCACATTCATTTACAGATGTAATTAGAATCAAATCAAAAGCAAATCAGTCAGTCAACACAATTAAAAACAAAACTACAGAAGCTATTTCTCAAATTAGAGCCTATTAGAAATTCAGGCAATCAAATTAGTAATCTTGTACATACCTCGAAGGTGTGATTGGCGTGAGGTCTTTACCCATAGTCTGGATAACTCTTCTACCCCAGACCCAGAGACCCACACAGATCCCAACACCTCCATAAAACAGCAGCCAGACGGGAGTAGCAGCTTCTTGCATTACACCTCCTTGTTCGTATATAAGCCAGAGAGCCACCAGAGGACCAATTGCATTGCTGAGAAAATAAAATAATTACAGCCAGGTTATAAAAACGGAGGCTAGTAGTTTTCAGCAAGTCACTTTGGTTGTATGTATTCGTTTTTCTCCAAATATGGGTGTGGTATTACTCTAATCCCACTGCATGGACTAGATTACAGTTTTGTAGAATGTCATTGGTAAGGAAGACTGCAGTGTCTCACAAATTGGGTCACATCCCACTGTTGCCTACATGTCATTGTTGATCATGATGGCAGAAATTGACAGAAGTTTCTATTATGCAAATAGTTTTCCAGAAATGTTGGATAGTTGATAACCTTGTATAGATATCTGTTCCTGAGGCAACTGCTCCTTCTGCTGCCCTGCAAGGTATGAAAAAGTGCTCTGGGTGGATGCATGACTAGGGTCTTCACAATTTTGTTAAAATCAATTTTTCTGTTAAATCCATTTAATAAAAGAAGTGGGAAGAGAACAAACAGATTCATAAGCAGTCCTACATACCACGGTCACAGAGTTTCACCAGCTCAATAACCTTCTCCCACAACCACTGGTATTTGGAATCTGCTCCCAGAGCCAGTTTTACTGGCTCAGAGAGGGTGTAGAAGTGGTGTACGCAGGGGACTCTTAGCTATTCCCCATCCCTGTAGTTGTGAGTCTAACAATATTTGGTGTGTTTTCCTCAAGACTCCAGAGCTGTAGTCATGTGACTAACAGAGTCTTAGCTTTCTAGCCTTCATGGGCACAGAGAAAAGCTTGAAAATGGATAGCAAGTACAATCCCGAGGGCTTAACCACCACCAGAAAACCACCTCACATTCATTGGTTTTAAAAATCTCATTTTTTAATACTCACAAATGGCAATTCTGGGACACAGCTGCTGTGCCTCTGCACCGTGTTAAATTTTGTATGCAATATCAACCTTTTGTAGCCATTTACAGCCATTACAAGTTAAGGCAGCTGTCAGGCTGTTCTGACATAACACCGTGGACCTAGCTCTGCACAGAGGTTGGGTGAGAGCAGGGCACCAGACAGTTTGTAATCCAACTTTGAACACACTCCTGACTTGCACTCTGAAAGGATCAGCAGTACCAATCCCTGAAACATCTCCTTCTTTTGCCTTATGCTGCCTTTAGTGCTGATAAGAAATGTTGCCCTGCAGCTCATCAACTCAGAATGACATAAAAAGGGAGAGGCCACACTCTAAATGAAATGCTGCACCTAAATTCTCAGTTCAGTGCTGTTATTTTGTGGTCTTTAGGGATTCTTCACAGTGACTTAAGAGTCAGAATTATAGAATATGGTGACAGCATTCAGGGAAAAATCTGCAGTTTCTAGCAATACATCAGAGAGTCTTGTTAAGAGATTACATCTGCTATGTTGGCTGGCTCCAATTTAACACCTGCATTATTCTGCTGATGGTTCATATTTTCTCTAAGGAAAAATGAAACTCCTGTTTCCCTTAGAAAATCAAAGGGAAAATGAAGTGCAGGAGAGCTGACAATTTCTCAAGGAGACAATATTAAAGGCATAAAAAGCAAATTATCCCAATGTGAAGGAAAGATACGGAGAGACCAATATAAGCTCTTTAGCCACCAGAAAATAAAAATGGAATCCTTCAGAAAGTGGAAACATGGGCACATTGCCAAAGAGGAGTATCAAAGACGAGCAGAAGCATGTAGAAAGACAATCAAAGGGGAAAAATAAATGACATACAAGGCAATAAGAAGAGGTTCCATGAAGGAATGTAAAATTCCAGTTAACTGGGATCCCATGGATGTGTGTGGGGG